AACCATATCAAGTTACGGAGAAAAAGTATAAAAGAAACTTTTTGACTTTGTATGCATCCTGAAGTATTTTCGGTCAAAAGTGGACTTACGAAATAGACGTCAAGATAATTACATTTCACATCTTTTGTTAGGGGCCATCAAAAAATTAAAAAAAAAAAAAAAAAAAAAAAAAAAAAAAAAAAAAAAAAACCCACTAAATGTATATCGTCTCTATGTTAGTAATAATGACAAAGTTAACTATGTAACAAAATTCATTTATTCAATCGGGTAAATCAAAAATTGCTTTTTTATTTGCAATTTTCCTTGGTTTTATTCCTTGGTTTTTCTATTTTAGAGAGCTTTCCGAGACAACAGAAAAATTAAATTTAAATTCTTCATTGTAATTTTCTCTCCAATCAATTCAATTACAGTATTGTTTATTAATGGCCACTTCCTGACCAATTGATTAATTCATAGTTTGATTCATTTATACAGCGCAGTTCTCTTCACCGATTTGATTTTTGGATTAATAAATAGCTCTCACACCAGCTTCTCTTTCTTTTCATTGTCCTAAAGGAATTCAATATTGATGTGATATGTAGTTCACGAGAATTTGAACAGAGCTTGTAATTTGTTAACAAAAATTAATCGCTTTTTAGAATTCAGAGCTCAAGTGATTATAAGTTATTCATTAGCGAGTCCAGTTTAATGAAAAAGATGAGCCTGACATTGCGATCAACACCCCTAGCAGTTGCAATGAATGAGACATCATCTTGGGTGCACCCCCAATCCCTTTTTAAAATTCGAAAATAGGTCTTGTCTATGTATATATAAATTAAGCCTTTCATTCAAACCTTACCGCACACATATATGTATAAAATCATTTAACAGCACATTGATTATAAACTATATATACCTAAGAAAATTGAGTTTTACATAAGAATAAATTAATTAGACCAAAATCTTTTAAGCAATCTATATTGATTAATTTATGATTTATTTTGATAAAAGAATTCAATTATATAATCTCACAACAATTATAAATGGGCGAGTTCTGTTTTTAAGTAGTATTTTTTTAATAGGCCCTGGCTTGGAAATTCCAGACAGCTCCTTTGGAATGTCCTTTCTTTTTCAATCTTCAAATCCCCTTTTATGGTGCATTTCAGATTTGAATAACGATCGAGTTGCAAAAATTTCTATTATGAATTTCAAACAATTCGTATTCTGAATTTCTGAGATAGTTCATCTCTCACAGACTTAGAACCTGGTATGATGCAATATTTATTTTAAGATACTGGGATTTTTCGATTTCTGTGAAGAATTCAACGTTGAAATTTTTCTTAAAAATAGAACCGAGTCATTTCCTTAGTGTTACCATTTTTCTTCGTTTTAAACCTTCTTGTCATCAATCGATTCATGAGCGCATATGCATAGAATTTCCTGCGGAAATTGGTAAAACAAAACCAGTTTTAAAACCATTCCTGCATTGGTCTCAATTACATTTTCCTATCTATTACAGTTTAACAAATCCATTAAATTTAAAGAAAGTTTAGTATCTATTTAAATTTTTTTTAATTCCCAAATGATGTTTGAAATCAACTCGTGCACGTGTCTGCTCAACAGAGTAGTTTTTTTTCTTTTTCCAACTGGATAACCGGGTACTCGATCGTACTTGATCTATACAAAATTATCACACACGTATAGTATATAGTTTTAAAACATTTATTGAAAAAAAAGGTTTATCAACAGTATAGCACAAGCATATACGACAATAATTTGTCTTCAAATTAAGAATAGATAAAACACGCACATGTAACAAAAAAAAACTGCATTCAAGAATCTTTCCCAACAGAAACCGTTATGATAATGATTACGGTGAAAGTCAGAGACACGGCGAAAAACACCACGAAGAAGCAAATGTTAAGAGTTGAGGCCACTGTTTTGTAGGTGATGCCCTCCTTTGGTTCCATGTACTCAATCTTTTCTTCTTCGTCTTCCTCACTGTTGTTTTCGTCCCCCACGGGTCGTTTTTCGCCTGGGTACTTTACTACTTGTGGTGGGTCCTTTGGCTCTCTCTCCTTCTCTTTAGGATACCAGTAGCGAAGCAGGACGAAGGCAGTAATGGCCTTTAAGCGTTCTGGGACTTCTTGACGCTTTGGTTTGAAGTCGAGTCTCATCACGAGTACCGAAACTACGGCAGAGAGACCGACGAATACCAGAGAAATAATAAGAAAATAACAAACCAGTGGAATAGGATTGGAAACGTGCGGAATGAGATAAAAATTCAATTTGAAGATAAAAGCGAAGAATAATAGAGCTGTTGCAATATAGCGTCCACGAGTCGCAATGACTGGAGGGGATAAAATTTCCTTTCTCGTCTTTTTCAAATGTTTCAATCGAGCTTTGAGAAACTTCATTCTGAGGCCCTGTGTAATTTTGGAATCTGGCATTAAGAAAGAAAAGTACATGAGCAAAGTCACGACGCATACAGGTATCACTGTAAACCAAATAAAATAGCTCGGTTCTCGATGAAGAAGTATTGAAAATTCCAGGAAAGATTGATTTGAGATCGTCTTGTTTGAGATGCTGGTGGAAGTTATGCTCCATTGGGAGTGTGTCTGTTCATCATAATGACTGAGATCTATAGTTGAGGATGAAGTAGTTAGAATTATCTCTGTCTCTTGGAATCCCCATGGCACAAGTTTTATCACACACGTTTGTTTGTCAAATGGAAAGAATTTAGCATCATATGTGCACTTTGTTCTAGGGGTGATCTTAGGTGTCCACTTTAAAAACCCTGAATTGGGAAGCACTCTCAAAGTTGTTGACGAGTTTCCAACCATTGCGATTTTGTCGACGCCATTTTGGATCGTAAGTGGTGGAAGCCAAATGTTCTCCTTCTGGAGGACGAGTTCAGTCAGCTGCGAGTATTTCTGGGGAGTATACCACCCAACGTAAGAATCTTTCAAATTTTCATCCGTCCAGGTCACAATTAGCTTTCCCGAAAATTGTAGAACACCGATCTGTTCATCATAACCGATAATACTGTACAATTCTAAGCCCACATCAATAGTAATGGGAGAGAAAGTTTTAAAGCGCGGAAATATCAAGCTATTATAATTATTGTCCAGATTTGTCAAATAATCCTTAACCGTGTTGCTGGTTGGAACTGACCACACATGTGGGAGAAATACAAAACAGAGAACTGATGTGGTGGTTATCAGCATTTTCGTATATCCTTTTCTTTAACGCTCACCAAACATGAAAATGAAATATTGGTAACCTATGAATGTTCTCAAATGAAATACAAATATAGCCAAATAATTGGATCATGATCAAATTCAGATAATAGAATTGAAATTTAACGCTTTTTAATTCCAGAAGTCCAAGCATTTACCAATTCCAAAGTTTTTACCTGAAGTAGAGCAAATCGTGTTGTTTTACCCCTGTTATAGCACTGCCTTTTGTTCTACCTGACTTGGACAACAATTGGAAAAAGTATGTTATCTGATTATAACATTTTCAGCGATGCAAGGTCAAACTATGCATGCAAGCACGTTTCAATAAAAGTTTTAGATACATGTATGTAGTTCAAATTTGTGGTGATTTTCACTTTTTTATTAAAATATATATGTGAGAATGTCGTATGAATATTGTTGCAATAACAGATAAGATTTAATTCAATGTTATTTACTATCAAAAAGTCTATTTTTAAATTTTAACTAGTCTTTACTTTGAAAAAAAAAATCTTTCCCTCCAAGACATTTTACATGTTCCAATACCCTTCATTACAAGAATGTGAATCAATACCATGATAATATCATGACAAAGGCAGCAATACTAATGAAAAGTCACATAGATATATACATGTATATGTAGCGCAACCATAACATCACATCTCATTGTAAATACTTTGACCTTGAAGAAGTCACATTGATTCAAGATTTCGGTACTTGCCGACAACAGCCAAGTTTTGAATTTAATACAAAAAACTCCTTAATTTTCGACAAATCTTCTTTGTCCAAAGATCTCAAGTACCCTATTATTTTAAAATTATATAATACAGTCCACATTACAAATACATAAATAAACTAGAGGTACTGTGAGCACTGAGCTCACAAAATGATACCCCCGCCTCCCATATGATTATAATGACAAAATCCATGTTTTGCTATGGAAGAACCAAAAAAAAAGTGTCTAATGAAAAAGTAAAATAGGAGGAGCACAGGGGCACTATATAATAAAGATTCTGTGAAAGTTTCATTAATTTTTTATTCAATGCTATATAGAAGGATTTGCGGATAAAAGATGGCTATCCCTCAATATTGTAGAAAGAATGGCTTTTTCTATGTTTTGCTATTGGAAACCAGAAATATGTGTCCGATCAAAGAGTAAAATAGGAGGTGCCCATTGGCTCTATGCAACATAGATTCTGTGAAAGTCTCATTAAATTTTATTCAGTGGTAAAAGATGAGTCGGATAAGAGCTGGGTATCCCAAAGAGTAACAGACGGACGTGCAGCTAGATAGACGGACGGATGCACACCCCATCACTATAACCCCCCCCCCCCCCGCTTTTCAAGCGGGGGTATAGTAATAAACAAATATACAAATAAAGACACAAATATGCCTTTCGTTTTGGAATTTATTAGAAATTAAATTCAACGATTCCATATCAGTGTACAGTGTAACACACACTAAACTAAAGCTGATAATCCCAAATAATCCAATCCTGATACACAGATTAAGTGAATTTAATTAATTAAATAAAATAATATATGGATATGATTTTTGATATATGATAGTCCCTATGAAAAACCTGGTTTCACCTGCTTCTCTTGGTCTGTTCTTATGTTTAAAATCCAATAATCCATTCACAAAGACAACACAAACTTTTTTAGCTATATTTTGAATAAATCACCAGGATAAAGTCAACAAAAAATATTTTGGCTTGAAAGAAAAACAACAAATGTACATATCGTAAACAAATGTACATGAAGTAATACCCCCCCCCCCCAAAAAAAAGTATACATATTAAATAATAAAAGATACTAACAATAAAAAGGTGCTTAAAAATATATTCAATAAAATATTCAATTCCTGGAAAAAGTTTCTTATCAATATCTTTACTATTTCTGACCATATCAGTCTTATTTTTATTCCCTTGAAGACATCTTGAAAAGGTTCCTCTATGTTTCTTAAAATGGTAATTAATTTTCAAAATATATTGGCTTGGATTAATTTCCTCTGTTTTGATGGTATTTAAAAAACGAGAATAGTTAAAATATGCACTGTAGTAGAGGAACTTACTCAATGTATATACAAAATTATCTATCGAAAGCAACAAATTCAAAACGAAGAGATAAAAGATTCAGTTCAAGAACCAATTGAAAACAGGCCGTGAGCAAAATTTAAAATTTTAGACAATTCGTATTTATTCCTTGACTCTGAAATTACTGCTGACTAAAAAAGGCCTAAGGGCATAATATCAGTTACACTATTTTATATTTTATAATTACATTGTATTTTGAAAAGAATGTCTCACAAAAAATAAAATAAAAGATAAAATCCGAGAAATTGTATGGCACCTCTGGCATGAACTCCTTCACTCATATACCTGGTACACAGTTCCTGACTGTGTCCAGTGTTTATCATGCATAAATGCAACCCGCAAAAAAAAAAAAAAATCAAAAATCACCGGTGTTCTATCCTCTCACAAATGAAACATAAGACGAGGCATCCTGGCTTACTCAACACAAATTCAGGTGACTGGATCTCAGAAACTGAGAACATTTTTAACAGGGATTAAACAATATTTGATAAATCCAAGCTAAAATTTTTTGAAAGACGATTTGGGTCACGACAGTGTTCACCCTGAATTAAATCCCATCCTCCGTGAGATCTTGAATCACATTGGCATCAAAACCCTCACTGGTCTGTCTAGAGAAAGGTTCGATTTCCACAGGCGAATCTGGGCTTAAAGTTTGAGTATTTTCAGCCTGCATGCCGGAAACACCTACAATTCTCCCGTTTACAGTTTGCCATGGAGGGTTTCTACACGAGTCTCTCTCTAACTCTCCTAACTGTTCAGAACCCAGGAGTTGTTGGAGTTTATGTCTCTGTTCCTGGCAGCGGACCAGATGACTCTTAAAAGTACTCTCCATTTTCTCTTTCAGCACTGCCAGCTGTTGTATTTCCCTCTTTAATTTTTTATGGTCTGTTTCCAAAGTTTCCACCTCCTGTTGTTTAAAAAAAAAGGTTTTACTTGTTAAAATAATGTTTTAAGTTAAATGTAGTTTTTGGTAAATTTTTATCAATATAAAATGCTACTTTGTCTTGACTTGTAAAGAAGGAAAGGCAAAAAAAAAAAAAAAAAAAAAAAAAAAAAAAAAAAAAAAAAAAAATCCACAAAGATGGTATTGGAATATAAGATAATTAATATGAGTATGCGTTTTTTTTTCTTTTTTCACTTATCTATTTATTTATGTTTGTTACAACATTGCATAAATACACTTTTAAACAGTTCGTTAATTTAAATCCCCCCCCCCAATACACACACACAAATAATATTTTTTTTTTAAAGAATGGACGAAGTTGTTTCTTAAGAATAAGCTTGAATTCATCTTAAATTAAATGGTATGCTTCACTCGGAAACATTTAGAAACATATTTTTCTTCAGAAAAATTAAGAGTTGCCTTGCATAAGTTTTAATGTTTGACCATCTTTAATTTCAAATGGGGGAAGGGGGGGGGGGGGTAAAGGCTTATAAACATTTGTTCTGAATTTAATTGTTAACACGATCAAAGTAATAGCATTTCTAGAACTTTGGCATTTAACACAGAAAGCATGAAATTTAATAACTGATTCAAAGAAGGCATTGCAGTTCTTTTGTTATTTTCCCTAAAGTTGTAGCAGATAATACAATAATTTTAAAGTTTACAATGGTATATACCAGACATTTTAAAACATCATATCGATTTTTATTAAATCAAGAAACGAAAATTTAATGTCATATAGCAGAATGTAACAGATTTTGTTTACTGCAGCGTAGTCTTTTCAGCGTAGTCTTTTTTTAAAAGAAAATTAAAGCACCAGATGTCTCTAAAAACGAAACCTGACAGCTGTTAATTTAGACCAATAATTCTCTTCATTTTTCTTTTTATTCTTTATTTTCCTTATGCCATATGGCACATCAGATAGTATGACACAAAATATACAAAATAAAAAATGTAATGCCTGATAATTTCAGTAGACTTGCTACATTAATATATATATGCATATATAGACCTACATGTATGAAACTATTCAATTCTTTCAGTTTTATATATATTAAATATGTACATTATTTGGAAAATAAAGAATAGGTGCGCTCTGACAACTATTTCCTTTTTTTGGGCTGATGCTTTAAATTTCATACAAAAAGTAACATAAGAAACTAGGTAGATGAACCTGTCGGCCGAACCGGAAAAAATCGAAAAAAGAGTATTTTTTTCAATTGCAAGTCCCCTGAAAATCATACAGCCATAAAAGGTGAAGTTCAAAGCCAACAATTTAAGTTGGTAATAAAGTTACTGCATCCTGATTCATCAAATCAAAAATTCTGAAGATGATATCTTTAAACATCATTCACATGAAAGCTTAACAGATGATATTAAAAAAAAATAAACTTATTGAAATTTTGAAGGAAAGTCAAGTACCTACCTTCACAAGACTTTCCTCCTTCTGTTTCCTCTTTTCTCGACTAAAGTTGGCGGATTTTCTATTTCTTATCTTCCTCAGCTCTTGCTTTCTCATTTCCTCCTCTGTTAACTAAAAAAAATGGGATAAGGGGATATCGATACTGTACACTTATTTATTTTATTAAGTGTAACCTTGGACATTACAGTCCATCATTATCAAATAATAACATTTTAAATAATGTATTTTATAATAATGAAAGACTACTATAGTGTACAAAATCTCGTCTACTAGTACTTTCAAGACCCCCCCCCCCCTTAAATAATAAAAACAATCTAAACCGCATCCCCGAAAACAAACCAAAAACCAGAAGTCTCTGACGAGACTGTAGCTCTACTGGTTGTATTTATAAAGGAAGATAAAAGTAGCACTTGGACTTGAAACTTTGCAACAGCAATAAACAGAATAATGATCCTTGGTTTAGTCTCTTTTGTGGCAAGATTTATTATTATATCAGACTAAAACTGTAGGAGGAGTAGCCTTTTAAAACAATTTTACAGAAATTTTGATTTAAGTAACCATGGCAACATCATTCAACAAAATCAAAAAACAATAACACCAATTATGTATCTCTGTAGTCTACTTGTATGCCACATTATACCGAAATCAGACAAAAAGTGTAGGAGGAGTAGCGTTTTGAAAGTATTTCAAGAAAATTTCTATTTTTTGTAACCATGGCAACAATGTTCATAGAAATCAGAAAATCAATACAAAGAATTATGTATCTTAGTGTAGTCTACTTGTTTGCCAAGTTATATTGAAATCAGATCAAAACTGTAGGAGGAGTAGCATTTTGAAAGTATTTCACAGAAATTTCTATTTTTAGTAACCATGGCAACACCGTTCATAGAAATCAAAAACTGATAAACAGAATTATGTATCTTATAGTCTACTCGTGTGCCAAGTTATATTGAAATCAGATCAAAACTGTAGGAGGAGTAGCATTTTGAATGTATTTCACAGAAATTTCTATTTTTAGTAACCATGGCAACATCGTTCATTGAAATCAAAAACCGATACACAGAATTATGCATCTTAGTATAGTCTACTTGTGTGCCAAGTTATATTGAAATCAGATCAAAACTGTAGGAGGAGTAAAATTTTGAAAGTATTTCACAGAAATTTCTATTTTTAGTAACCATGGCAACACCGTTCATCGAAATCAAAAACCGATACACAGAATTATGTATCTTAGTATAGTCTACTTGTGTGCCAAGTTATATTGAAATCAGACCAAAACTGTAGGAGAAGTAGCATTTTGAATGTTTTTCACAGAAATTTCTATTTTTAGTAACCATGGCAACACCGTTCATCGAAATCAAAAACCGATACACAGAATTATGTATCTTAGTATAGTCTACTTGTGTGCCAAGTTATATTGAAATCAGACCAAAACTGTAGGAGGAGTAGCATTTTGAATGTTTTTCACAGAAATTTCTATTTTTAGTAACCATGGCAACACCGTTCATCGAAATCAAAAACCGATACACAGAATTATGTATCTTAGTGTAGTCTACTTGTGTGCCAAGTTATACTGAAATCAGACCAAAACTGTGGGAGGAGTAGCATTTTGAAAAATTGTTTACAGACGGACAGACAGACAGACAGACGGACGACGGAAACCTTACTATCGCATAAGCTCTTCTGGTCTCTGACCAGTAGAGCTAACAAACAAACAAAACCCTAAAAAAAAAAAAGAAGAAAATAATATATACACACGTGAACATACACACACACAAAGCAAAAATTGAAAAGTTTTTAATTTAGTTGTAGCTGCGTAACAATGCAAGATCCAAAACAACAAACCTCATACTTAGGGGGAGGATCAAACGACACTTGTAAAGGTGCCTGTCCACTTTCCATGTACTTTTTCTGGATTTTTGACTTTAGTCCATTTTTTACGAGACTGAGCGCCTCATTTTTGGAATTTCCGTTTGCCGGTTGGCTGTTTTCTACCTGTTCGGTGGATGAGTTACTGTCCGAGGTAGAGGAGCCGGGAGGAACATCGGGTGCCGACAGACCTTCCATGTCCAGGGCGTCAAACGCAGGGACCCTAGTAAAGGGTGGAAAATGACCGATGTATGCATATTTAATAAAGATAGTTAAAAATGACATTAAAACAAAACAAATAACAATGGATATGTTTGAATTTTATTATAATAAATGACATCAAAAATGGAATGGTGAAATACGACTGGTGTAATTAAAATCATAATTTCATTCTTCCAAATGCAACTTAAATATTCCATGTCAATAATAGAATAATTGTCTGGAATGGTTAACAATATTTTTTTCTCTCCCTCTAATTAATAGAAGTTATCCAAAGTGCATAAAAATACACACCCATAATGAAAATCGAAGTAACTTTCGGCCATTGGCTGCAGTCCAGCGAATGAACTTTCTTTTGACAATATGATGCAAAGAAGCCAACTTCAGTGCAAATTAATAACATATGATACTAAGAAATATCCATTATTTCGCTTCATAACAAAGTCATGCAACTGTACTTGCAGACTGGACGAAGCGAATATACGCTATATGACTGGTCCAACAAAACCTGCTGCAGGGAGTAATCTATGTATCCATATGCACTATTGATTTCCAAAGATTGGAAAACCCATGTTTTTCGCTAACTTATGTAGATGAAACTATGTGAAAGCACCTATTCTATAAAAAGCAACCAGCTTTATATACAAAGAACACCAACTTTTCTTATATATTGAGATCTAATCACGTGACACAAATGATTACTTACGTTTACATTGGTTTAATACCACATATCTTAAATTAATGGCACATATTTTTTCACATCACAATGATCGTTATTCTATGAAAGAACAGGAGTCTATAAATAGCGATGGAAAGACCAGATTTATTTTTAGAACTGAAACTGAGAATTTCGTGGTATATTTACTTCCGTTGGCAAGGTATAAGTTTCGAATACCTGAAATGACATAAAATTGAACAAAGGGGACATTGACAATTTGTCAAGGCCGACATCTGTTATAAAAAAAAAATAATGACGCACTGTATGAATAGTTTTACAACAGCAAAAAAAAAAAAAATTCACTAGACTCGCCTTGAATATTTCCGATGTGGAAAATGATAAATATTAAATATACATGTCCAATTTAGTAAGAACACAAATTAAGCTTGAATCATACATTTTTGAATAATTATACTTTCGTCTCTCACATAATGAACTAAACAAACAGGCCTTAGATAATGCAAAATCGCTCAAAAATAATATTACAGAAAAAAAAAACACCGTAGGAAATTTAATGCAAACTTTTATAAACATATTATGTAAACATTAACAATTCTTAAAAATATCTGACAATGACATAAACTGGAATTGGCTTTAATGATTTGTTTTTTTTAAATTTATCAAAAAATCAATTAATTTTCATACATGTACAAAAAGTATGCTTCGAACTAACATAATGAAACAAGAATGTAGCCCTTGGTCCATATTATCAAAGCCATCACAGTTATTAAAAGTTTGGAAATTTTAAAGTTTTAATACCGGTAATAGAAAATTTGCACTAATTTTCATTTATCTCTGTTTTCTTCCGCTGAAAAGAAATTGCTTTGCAAAGAAAGCTTCATAAAGATTTTTCAGCAAACCCCTGCTGTAGGTAAATTTAAAACGTGGTATTTTGTCTTGCGTCCTTTTACTTGAATTCTTATTCTTCGTCTTATTTAGTATAACACCTTCCACAAAGTTGTAGTTCGAGTCAGATACACGCTTGTACCTCTCGTTCGTCGTCTGATTGGCTGAAATGAGGAACACGTGGTACAGCGCAAATGTTCCCACCATTGGTATAAGTAAAGTAAAAGCCACCAGCATGAACACAATTCTTGGGAAAGTCATAAACAAATGCTGAAATTAAAAAAATATATAAGGGAATGATCGGAAATGTAAGACAAAGCGCATCTACAACTAAAAAGGGGGGGGGGGCTAAAATCCATTTTGGGGTCACTGTTTCAAGTTCAAAATCACAAATGCAGAGCTACCCTGTGTAGAGTATTATGACACACTTGTTTTTGGAAAAGATAAAATTGAGCAATGCATTACAACCAGACTATGCACTTAGACAATACGTGCTGATAAGATATGGGATAAACTCCACCGAGTTTCGTTCCACAGTTCTGCGATCTAGATTATGGATTTCATGGGAACATTTCTTGAATACTGTATTAAATATTTGTCTTCCCACAAATTTTTATTAAAATATAAAATTTAGTGTTATGACTATTAGTCAAAAGACCAAGTTTTATATTTTAATGAAAATTTGTGGAAAGACATATTGATCAAATATGGGTTCAAAAAATTCTTTACACCTCAAAGAAAACGTTGAGTATTTTGGGATCATTTACAAAATTATGATCATGTGCGGATCTAGAGGGTTTTTTTTCGCTTGTCAAGAAATTCCTGGGTTGGAAACCCCCCCCCCCCCCCTGGAAAAAATCCCGGATCTTTGCCTGATGATTATGAAGAAAAAAAAACGAAAGTGACGTTGACTTACACTTATATGAATATTCACCTGAGTGAAATTACATGTGTATTGTTCAATGAGATGTAAGTTTTTTTTTTTGTTTTTTTTTTGTTTTTTTTTTTTTAAAATAATAATTTAACTAAAATGTCTATTAAACCTACTGTTCGTTGTTTGTAGTTACAGTATGTGAGATTCCGTCGTGTTATGCGAATTAAACCTTAAAGAATATTGCCTTTGACTACCTTTTTATAATGATTGATAAAGCGATATACAAGAATTCTATAATATGAGTGTTCCTATCAAGGAAGGTTAAACGGTATAACGTGCTTATTCTATAGAACGAGTACTTGAACGCATTTCAGTGTTTGGAATGAAAATTAAAGGTATCGATAATCAATGGAAGATATTTCCAAACAAGGAAGTCCTTCAGTGCTAAAAGTTAAAAATAAAAATCTAAATTACACCGTGTATACTCTAACCTCCTTTAAATGTATATTTAATTGGCTTTGGATTTCTGCCATCATGGATAACAAGGTGCCGATCCATGAAGTATTTTTTAACAACAACACCCCCCCCCCCTAAAAAAAATAAAGAAGAAAAAAAAAGAAACAAACGAACAACAAATACATGTCAAAGTTATATTATTATTTAGACTGACATTTGTAAAAGCTACATCGCGGTGTGGATGAATATGAGTCAAGCCCTATTTGTTTCACTTTCGTAATGATGTCATATGCTCATACCACCCAAGCTCTCATGTTTCCATATTGTCATCTTGCAGAGTGAACCTGCTATTATATCTGATTTACCATTGTCATGTGTAGGTGGAATAACTGAATTAAAGAAATAAAAAAATCCTAAAATAGTCATACGATGTTTTTTTCCCCCTTCATTTCTGCTACTCGAGACTAGCTTTAGATTGATACAGATCTTAAGATCAAAGGTTATCGCAGAGGAAATACCTCACCAGTATTTATATAAAATTCTTTTGAAGCAATAAATGCCAGAGGGGTTGCATGAAACCGTTTAAACTTTTCTTGCCTGTTTAGTAGCCTTTTTTTTTTTTGAGAAAATGGAGTATTTTAAATTAATTCTAATTGTAAGCATAGTGCATTCGCCTTACCTGAAAAAGAATAGAAAAGGTAATCTGTTGTACAGAGCCATCAGCTGCCATTACAGATGTCTGCATTATTTTGTAGTGCTCTGTGTACAATATGAGGCTTCTGCTGGCCATCCACACACCATTGACCATGATGGCTATCAAGGACAAGAGGAAGATAACAAAGATCCCATGATTCAAGCCTCCCACATCATTGTTTGTCCAGATACAATGATGGTCAAATCTATGAACACACCTGTTACAAATACCTGGAAAGTTAAAGGAATTATACTTGACCAAAATGTACAAATATTTTTAGGGCCAAAGTGATTCATCATGCACTTAATACTTATATGTACTTGCAACTGTATTACAATACAGAAGATGGAATGAAGCTTTACAAAGGGATTCATTTTATGATTGGACCAATTTTTTATGAGTGATGAAAAGAAACAGAAAAAATGAAATTGGCACTATAAACATAATAGAAAATATGCAGTATAAAGTAGCTCATAACAGTATCAAAGTGCATAGCTTAATGAGCATACATTATCCTTGACTAGCTTAACTGTTGTATAATGTAGCTCATTACAAAATTAAGAGTACATGTACATAGTTCAATGAGCATGCATGTACCGGTATATCCTTGACAAGCTTAACTTTTGAAGGTTAGAATCCATGTTGTTACTTAGTCTCATGATTTTACACAAAACACACACAGATCCTCAATTCAAAGACACACAGATCCTCAATTCAAAGAGAGTTCATTGCTCTTGGTCACTAAACCAGAAAGAAAAGTATCTTATTAACAAACACCCCTGACTTGAGTATGATTTTACTTACTGCAGTGCTTAGATCTGGCAGGTTTCTCAAGCAGACAGGTTGCACAATTTACTCCAGGCTTAAACATTTTGTAATCATATGGATAGGCATTTCTGTATCTGTTTATTGTCCTGGCATTAATGATTCCTGGGTCCTCCATACAACATTTATGATAGAAGAAGAGGTTCAGGAAGACTAGGATTATGGGTAATATCACATGATTCTCACTGGGTACGAATTCATACAGCAAAGGTATAATGTCTAGTATGTACTCAATGTGGCCTAGGACCATCATGGTTCCAAAAAACACACGGAAAACCTGGTTCCTGGAATAAAAGAATTTTGTACATACATGTTATGGTATCAATATACCGAAGATGGACATTATGCAATACATGTATTTTAAAACATCCATGCATATTGCATGTAAGATCTTGTATGTACAGTACATATTTTTCTCACTGCATGACATTATTCTGTAGATTGACTCTAACTTGTGATCAATTTTAGTGCCACAGAGAGAGAGAGAGAGTTCCTAATAATTATGAGGCAATATGCACAAAAGGAAATAAAGTATATAACTATTATCAGCTTTTATGGCTAATGGAAAAATTATTTTCATATAGGAGAATCAACAAAGGAAAAAGGATGCTGCAAATTTGCTTTAAATGTTACCATGTGATAAATACATTAAAAGATAATAAAGTTTTACACTAAATTAAGTAAATAAGTACAGCCGAACTTCGGTATCTCAAACACTGATATCTCGAACATCATGGATATGTCGAAGTGATTTGGAAGTCCCAACTGCTTATTCTTTAAGTATTTTACCCTCATATCCTGAATTCTTGGATATCTTGAAGTTTTTTCTTGTTCCCATCAAGTTTTAGATATAGAGGTTTTACTGCATATGCCATCCTTACCTCGAGTTTAATAAAATATGTGTTTTTGTTAAAACAGCTTCTATCCATTTCCAAGGCACAATATGTCTTAGGACCTAAAATAGGGATAAAACTTTATGATATGTATGATAAATCACTTTCTATATACACTGGCCATATTACACAACATTCTGGATTAGATAGCAATAAAAAAATTGAATTTACTAAAGGGACTATTAAAGTTTACATTGTATTAGAAAGATTTCAGAATACACAACATCCGGATCAAACAAGTTTCACTGTAATAGCATTTACCCTCCAAGTTAGTTTTCTGAGCATTCCCACTGGGCCATGTTTCAAGTACTTGCTGTCAGCGAACAGGTACAAAAGCAGACAAATGGTGAAGCCCAGCACGTACAGCACAATTAAGTCCAGAAAATTCATGTTGTAAATATCATGACCATACTCATATATTGTCTTCATGCAAGTCTGCCACACACTCAAGCCTCTATAAGTATAACACAAGCCCTTTTGTTATTTGAAAACTATCCCATCCCTTAGCTTAAAAAAGTATCATCTTGAAAATTTGATAATTCTGTTTGTAGAAAATTATGGCTGTTATTGATGCAAACTTCTGTCTGTAATTGTATATTTCAGATTACTAGGTATATGAAAATTCATATTTAACAACACATATAAACAGAAATATATACATGTACATGATACAGCACTCTGGGCTCTGAATTCAGCAATCCAAGTTCATATCTCAGCGGAACCTCCATATGTGGTACCAGTAATTTAAAATCTCTCACCATTAGGACAGTGGATATAGCCTGGATGGCTTAGCGATTATAGTACAGTAATGCAGCAGTTGCGAGTTTGATTCACTTACTCCAGATATTTTTCATTGTTTATTTGTTCATTGCTCCTTGAAAAGGTACTCTCAATCCTATAACCCATTTTTTTAGTTCCTTTAATTTAATTGAAAACATCATCTGAATGATCAGAATCTACTACCAATTCTTAAACAGTATAGTGTTATCCCTTTATTTCAAAGTAAAGGGTTGGAGATCAATTGTAACAGACAAGGGGTTGAAGTCTATGAGCACAATCTCTGTAGATCTTAGTCTTACAACAATTATTTTTCAAATTTATGATTTCTAAGTGACAATTTTATCAACTGTAGTGGTCAATTTTGGCAAGTAGCTGGTTGTTAGGGAAAACACTGCAGTGGAACATCTGATTTTAATAGGAGTGTAGATCCTTGGTTGCTTACTGGGCATCATGGTATATCAAAATATAATAAGTCCCTGTAACTGCCCATCCTAAAGGAATATACAAAGAGACTTTTGTGGGTTTTGTCTTTTAATGAGAAATAGACAAAAAGTTGCAAGTATGCAACTACTCATATTTGTAATATGAGCTATTAAAAGAGCAATCCAAATCAAACATTGTTCAACTATTGCTGCTTTTGAACACTTTTAAGCAAAAGATTATTTCCATTATTTGGGTAATTGTATACCATCTTGCAGTAAGGCATGGCTTGGTTACTTCACATTGTGCTGAATAAAATGAATTACATGTATCACCAATCAATTATCTTGTAGACCCTAATTTACCTCCTTTATAAATCCATTCAAGATGTAACTGTGAGATCACAAATTAATTGCTTTATCTGTTTATATAACCTCAAAACTTTCAGAACTTTGAGTACAACAAGATGAAAAAGATGCAATTTGATGAGTTATTTTTTCATGCATTGTTTTCAGGGGAGTTCAAAGTTGAAAACTTTCAATACACCTATGTGCGACTTTCTTTTACATGATGAGAAAATTGCACATTTGAGATATTGTATGATAAAATAACAAAATCATCAGTGATCAAGTTCATTTTGAATAGCTAATTCAAGCTATACATATATATCTGGCTATAAACAAATAGATTGTGCCGGAACTGTTAATGTATGCGTATTAGAATTATAAAGTACTTACATTTTGCAGGACAAAACATCAGGAGGGGATTTTCTGTGAGAAATATTTTTATCACTAAGCAAATGATTAAATAAGTGTAATCATGGTAATTGACTGGGCAATCGTGTTAATCATGTTCTTCTTCGATAAAAGCATTTGAATATTTCAATGAATATTGCAAATGACACTGACAATCAAACTTTTAAAAAAAAAAAAATTACTGACTCACGAGTTATTCTGCCGGTATACATACACCGGAAATAGCCCTAGCACGGTAAATGTTGACCCAAAGTCTATCACAATCACGGGGTTGACGCTCCAGTCACCCAAAAGCGGTTCATATGTATCACTATTCCTACCCACAGGTGCTTGGGGACAAGATACCCCCCCCCCCCGTGTTCCGTACCCCTAGGGTTCTTTGAATTTTTTAAAAATAAAAAAAATATTTGTCTATGATACATTCACTTAATCATTTCAACTGAAAAATCCAAAATATAGCCTAAAACTAGCCTTCTATAACACTCGCTGATACTAAAAGTTCTCTTTTATTATCAGAGAGTGTGAATGTTTAAAAAAGGCTAGTTTTAGGTTATATTTTGGATTTTTCAGTTCTAATACTTTGTGAATCTGTCATAAAAATATTTTATTTTAAAAAAGTCGAAGAATCCTAGGGGTACGGAACAATACGGGGGTGGGGGGTGGGGTCCCGTCCCCAAGCACCTGTGTTCCTACCAACTTAACAGGGTCCACGTTTTTTAGGGGGGGGGGGGGTTCCAAAGTCACTTATAGTTGCTTTAGTATATACATTTGATAATTCTGCATATTCTGTGAATTTACAAGACAGATTGAGATTAAATTTATTGATTTTAAATATTTTGAAATAGGCCCTATTATTTGGTGGTAAAAAATAAAAATATGGTCAATATTACTTTTTTAAAAAAAAGAGCTTTATATTGTGAAATTGATGCGAGGCGATAGTTTAATTTTTTTAAGCATTTTAGTGAGGATACATATCTATGTGAATATACTCGTACAAGACATATTATTTCTGAAATAGGCCCTAGGCCCTATTATTTGGTGGTAAAAAATACAAATATGGTAAAAATTATTTAAACAACAAAAAAAAAAAAACGAACTTTAATGCAAACAGTTTTTACAATGAGAAAAATATTATTGGTTAATAAAGTTGGTCAGCTAGAAAAGATAAAAGGATGAGTATCAATTTGGTGAGTTGGTTACCCGTTGTCAGGAGACTGACGTCACCTAACAAACGAGCAGATCCAGATGCTTTCGGCTCATGTGGAGTGAGTTTATCAAACCAACATACCACGGCTCATCCGATAATTGAAACCTGAATTCATATATTTAAAATGTGAACATATGGGGTGGTGCAATATCCGGAAGTACAATACATTCTTTCATTACTTCTGCTCTAGGAAGAATACAAGAAAGGGTATTTAAAATAAAATTATATTTACCTTAAAAAAACATTGAGAGATGTCAAAATTCGAAAATCCTATTTCTTCGGGGAGGTTCCCAATTTATTTTTATTGGTGGGGGCCCAGGGGTCGAAGCCCCCAGAAGATCCTAGATTCTAGGAATTTTATAGGGTAAAAATGAGGTCTTCCAAGTAAACATTTTCATATTTTCTCGTCGAAACTATGATTTACGCTTACTTTTATATTTGGGGGGGGGGGGGGGGGGGCGGTGTGCACCCCCTTAAATCAGCCACTGACAACTACCGGTGAAAGAGGAGATAGCTCTTTTGTTAATCTAGATAAAGAGAAATATTTCGCTCATGATTGCAATCAAAGAAACCATCAATCTTCATTTTCCTTTAAATATTTCCAAACTTTTTATTGTGAAATTGGGGCGAGGCGCCTGTTTAATTTTAAAAAAGAATTTTTATTGAGGGTACATTTCTATGTAAATATACAAGAGATATTAAATATTTTGAAATAGGCCCTATTATTTGGTGGTAAAAAATAAAAATATGATCAAAGTAATTTAAAAAAAAACGAACTTTAATGCAAGCAGTTTTTACAATGAGAAAAATATTATTGGTTAATAAAGTTTGTCCACTAGAAAAGATAAAAGGATGAGTATCAATTTAGTGAGTTGGTTACCCGTTGTCAGGAGACTGACGTCACCTAACAAACGAGCAGATCCAGATGCTTTTGGCTCATTTGGAGTGAGTTCATCAAACCAACACACCACGGCTCATCCGATAATTTAAACTTGAATTTACATATTTAAATGTGAACATATGGAGTGGTGCAACATCCGGAAGTACATTGTTGCATCCATACTTCTCCTCTAGGAAGAATAAAAGAAGGGATATTGTAAATAAATTTCCTGATGATTTTACATTTTCCTATACAAGAGTTTCCAGTAAAGAAAATGATTGTAAAATAATAAATCGATCACAAATGTAACTTTCAGATCACATATGTAACTTTTTATTGTAAGTAATCACTCAATCTTCTTTTCAAGATTTTCTCAATCACTGAAGCCTTGATATTTCTCTTTCATGTATTCTTTTGAAATTACTGAATAAAAAATATCCGGTTTAGGACTTTTTTTAAAGAAATATGTAAAGACTTTTATATAGATAATGTAATATTGAGAGTGAAAATATCTGATAAAATGAGCAGAATGACATTAAATAAGAATTCCTTTTGGTAACTCCGAACTAAACCATTACAAGGAAATTACCTGAAAGGAGAAAGAGAAAAAAAACACAACTAAAAGTGCTATTTGACTAATTATTTTGAATTTATCAATGAAAAAGGTGAGTTTCGAGTTAGCCCGGTGGATACCCCACATCCATGAACAGAAGCTCAAAGACATGGAGTAGATCTAGCTGCTTTAGTCTCAGTAGAAGAATCAATCTTAACCCACCAAGCCACGGCTCACCCGAGGTCTAGTACAAGTATATTATCTATAAAATATTGCACAACTACCTGTGAAAGAGGAGATAACTCTTATTTTAATCTATCTAAAGTAAACTATGTCATTGAGAGGCAATCTTTTCAATGAAAAGGAAACAATTCAAACTAATCAATCTTAATTTTCTTTAAAATATTTCATAGCTTTAAATTGTAAAATGAGGCGTTTGTTCAATTAAATTTTAACAAAGCATTTTTCACAAGACGGATTGAGATATGGAGAAAAAAAAAGAAATATTATATATTGTTAAAAAAAAAAATAAAAATATGGTCAAAATTATTTGAAAAAAAAACCCCGAACATTTATGAAAATAGTTTTACTACGAGAAAAATGTTCTACATATGTGAGTTAATAAAAATTTTGCACCTAGAAAAGATAAAAGGATGAGTATCAATTTGGTGAGTTGGATATGAACGTATGGGGTGGTGCAATATCCGGAAGTACAATACATTCTTTCATTACTTCTGCTCTAGGAAGAATACAAGAAAGGGTATTTAAAATAAAATTATATTTACCTAAAAAAAAACATTGAAAGATGTCAGAATTCGAAAATCCTATTTCTTCGGGGAGGTTCCCAATTTGTTTTTATTGGTGGGGGCCCAGGGGTCGAAGCCCCCAGAGATCCTAGATTCTAGGGATTTTATAGGGTAAAAATGAGGTCTTCCAAGTAAACATTTTAACATTTTCTCGTCGAAACTATGATTTACGCTTACTTTTATAAATTTTTTTTTTAGGGGAGGGGGGGTGGAGGGAGGGCGGTGTGCACCCCCCCCCTTAAATCAGCCACTGACAACTACCGGTGAAAGAGGAGATAGCTCTTTTGTTAATCTTGATAAAGGGAAATATTTCGCTCATGATTGCAATCAAAGAAACCATCAATCTTTATTTTCCTTTAAATATTTCCAAACTTTTTATTGTGAAATTGGGGCGAGGCGCCTGTTTAATTTTAAAAAAGAATTTTTATTGAGGGTACATTTCTATGTAAATATACAAGAGATATTAAATATTTTGAAATAGGCCCTATTATTTGGTGGTAAAAAATAAAAATATGATCAAAGTTATTTAAAAAAAAAAACCGAACTTTAATGCAAGCAGTTTTTACAATGAGAAAAATATTATTGGTTAATAAAGTTTGTCCACTAGAAAAGATAAAAGGATGAGTATCAATTTAGTGAGTTGGTTACCCGTTGTCAGGAGACTGACGTCACCTAACAAACGAGCAGATCCAGATGCTTTTGGCTCATTTGGAGTGAGTTCATCAAACCAACACACCACGGCTCATCCGATAATTTAAACTTGAATTTACATATTTAAATGTGAACATATGGAGTGGTGCAACATCCGGAAGTACATTGTTGCATCCATACTTCTCCTCTAGGAAGAATAAAAGAAGGGATATTGTAAATAAATTTCCTGATGATTTTACATTTTCCTATACAAGAGTTTCCAGTAAAGAAAATGATTGTAAAATAAATCGATCACAAATTTAACTTTCAGATCACATATGTAACTTTTTATTGTAAGTAATCACTCAATCTTCTTTTCAAGATTTTCTCAATCACTGAAGCCTTGATATTTCTCTTTCATGTATTCTTTTGAAATTACTGAATAAAAAAATATCCGGTTTAGGACTTTTTAAAAGAAATATGTAAAGACTTTTATATAGATAATGTAATATTGAGAGTGAAGATATCTGATAAAATGAGCAGAATGACATTAAATAAGAATTCCTTTTTGGTAACTCCGAAATAAACCATTACAAGAAAATTACCTGAAAGGAGAAAGAGAAAAAAAAAAACACAACTAAAAGTGCTATTTGACTAATTATTTTGAATTTATCAATGAAAAAGGTGAGTTTCGAGTTAGCCCGGTGGATACCCCACATCCATGAACAGAAGCTCAAAGACATGGAGTAGATCTAGCTGCTTTAGTCTCAGTAGAAGAATCAATCTTAACCCACCAAGCCACGGCTCACCCGAGGTCTAGTACAAGTATATTATCTATATAAATATTGCACAACTACCTGTGAAAGAGGAGATAACTCTTATTTTAATCTATCTAAAGTAAACTATGTCATTGAGAGGCAATCTTTTCAATGAAAAGGAAACAATTCAAACTAATCAATCTTAATTTTCTTTAAAATATTTCATAGCTTTAAATTGTAAAATGAGGCGTTTGTTCAATTAAATTTTAACAAAGCATTTTTCACAAGACGGATTGAGATATGGAAAAAAAAAAAAAGAAATATTATATATTGTTAAAAAAAAAATAAAAATA